AAATCTGATTGTAACGGTCTTGATGAAATTTTAAATTTGGTAAAATCTGATTGTAACGGTCTTGATGAAATTTTAAATGTGGTAAAATCTGATTGTAACAGTCTTGATGAATGTGTCTGTTGAGGAAATTTGTTTAAATTGACATTTTGGAACATACACTAATTGACCAAATGGATGTCTAATATAATATAAATCATACAAATCATTAATAGGACATTATAACAGCTTCCAAAGCATCCTACTGTATTATGCTAAAAATGTTTCACTGCAAGGCTTTTTAATTGTTTTGTTATTGTAAATATGCATTATTAGCCATGTCTTTTAGTGTCTCACGCATGGGCACCGTGTTTTTAAAATGCATCAAGCTATAATTAATGGACTTTACACAGTTATTGAACCAAACTGAATCAATAATGAACTGTTTTCAACTAAATAATCACTATTATCTTTTCAGAGCTGCTTTCATTTTGTTTGCATCACTATTTCCTTGTCTAAACCCATAAAGCTGCTTTGAAACAATCTGTATTGCATAAAGTGCTATATAAATACAACTTGAGATCCTATGTTGGGTTAAAATACATCACGTTAACATTTTTAACAGTGTTAAAAGACCCTACGCTGGGCGCCACGTTTTTAAAACGCATTGTTAAAACTTGTCTTGACCCTGTGGCAATTGATGTTGAAAAGACATCAAAACTGGCGTTAAAAAAAACAGGTCAAATATGCAAATCAAACTGACATCAAAAACTTGACATGACATTGATTTGATGTAAATTGAATGTCAAACATATTGACCTACATATACATTAAACCAATTTCAGTGTGGGATTAACTTCCTATTTTCACCCAAGAAACTGCAGTCCAAACTGAATTTAAAATAATGTTACAGCATCTTGATCAAGTCTTGACTAATATTTGACGTCAAATTGATATCAAGGTTCCCGCTGGGGAGACCCTGCATTGGGCGCCACGTTTTTAAAAAAGCATTAAGGGTTTTGAGATTTCTCAAAGACCACATTTTTGAGTGAAGGGTCCAAAAGGAGATTGATTGTTTGATTTTATGCACCTGTTGCAAATGAAATAGTCAAATAGTCATACATACTTTTGGCCATATAGCGTATACTAGCCTATACCTACGTCTAATGTTGGTTTGGGCAGAATGTAAAGGTCCTACAAAGGCCTTTTAAATGTTATGTTACGATGGCAGTCAGCGTCTGAGATACACAGCTCTTCGAGGGTCACCAGAGCAACTGTACAGTGATTTGAATTTACATTTCACGTTTGATTTGTTGTTCAATACAGGGTAAAGAATGTCTAAGCATATGATACATCAAATCTGATTGTAACGGTCTTGATGAAATTTTAAATTTGGTAAAATCTGATTGTAACGGTCTTGATGAAATTTTAAATTTGGTAAAATCTGATTGTAACGGTCTTGATGAAATTTTAAATTTGGTAAAATCTGATTGTAACGGTCTTGATGAAATTTTAAATGTGGTAAAATCTGATTGTAACAGTCTTGATGAATGTGTCTGTTGAGGAAATTTGTTTAAATTGACATTTTGGAACATACACTAATTGACCAAATGGATGTCTAATATAATATAAATCATACAAATCATTAATAGGACATTATAACAGCTTCCAAAGCATCCTACTGTATTATGCTAAAAATGTTTCACTGCAAGGCTTTTAATTGTTTTGTTATTGTAAATATGCATTATTAGCCATGTCTTTTAGCATGGGCACCGTGTTTTTAAAATGCATCAAGCTATAATTAATGGACTTTACACAGTTATTGAACCAAACTGAATCAATAATGAACTGTTTTCAACTAAATAATCACTATTATCTTTTCAGAGCTGCTTTCATTTTGTTTGCATCACTATTTCCTTGTCTAAACCCATAAAGCTGCTTTGAAACAATCTGTATTGCATAAAGTGCTATATAAATACAACTTGAGATCCTATGTTGGGTTAAAATACATCACGTTAACATTTTTAACAGTGTTAAAAGACCCTACGCTGGGCGCCACGTTTTTAAAACGCATTGTTAAAACTTGTCTTGACCCTGTGGCAATTGATGTTGAAAAGACATCAAAACTGGCGTTAAAAAAAACAGGTCAAATATGCAAATCAAACTGACATCAAAAACTTGACATGACATTGATTTGATGTAAATTGAATGTCAAACATATTGACCTACATATACATTAAACCAATTTCAGTGTGGGATTAACTTCCTATTTTCACCCAAGAAACTGCAGTCCAAACTGAATTTAAAATAATGTTACAGCATCTTGATCAAGTCTTGACTAATATTTGACGTCAAATTGATATCAAGGTTCCCGCTGGGGAGACCCTGCATTGGGCGCCACGTTTTTAAAAAAGCATTAAGGGTTTTGAGATTTCTCAAAGACCACATTTTTGAGTGAAGGGTCCAAAAGGAGATTGATTGTTTGATTTTATGCACCTGTTGCAAATGAAATAGTCAAATAGTCATACATACTTTTGGCCATATAGCGTATACTAGCCTATACCTACGTCTAATGTTGGTTTGGGCAGAATGTAAAGGTCCTACAAAGGCCTTTTAAATGTTATGTTACGATGGCAGTCAGCGTCTGAGATACACAGCTCTTCGAGGGTCACCAGAGCAACTGTACAGTGATTTGAATTTACATTTCACGTTTGATTTGTTGTTCAATACAGGGTAAAGAATGTCTAAGCATATGATACATCACAATGAAACCAGTATATACCGATATAAAATGGAATAAATAAAATAAAAAATATCATTTCTGTTCAGTACAGTTTTTCTTAAATTGTCGCAGGACATGCAAGGCAATGTGTCTTTTTTTTCCTCTCAAATCTTCCTCAAGAGCTAAAAGAATGCATAGATAGACACTTACAGTTCACATCTCCTCCCCTAGAGCTAGCTCTCCTAAAAAGGACCATAAAATTAATTTGTATTCACAATCTCTACCATCTTTCACTCTTCTTCTTTTCTTTGTTTTATCAGTTGGTTTATCTACAACACATACATGATTTTTTTTACAGCATGGCCAGAATAAACGGGATCACAAGACATGCCCAGGCAACTATGACCAAAATAAACAAAACCAAAATAAAAAAGCGACAAAATAAAAGTATCTGAAATTTGAAAAATAAAGCCTTATGATATGATGTTTGCTATATATAGATACTATATGTACACACATAAGTGACTCGTCAAAACCCTTGGGAAAGAAAGGGTAAGTCTAGGACTACAGGTGGCACGCCAGAGCACAGCAAGATCACGTAGGTGCGTGCGGGTCAAAAAAATTTAAATACAAATTTGTGAAACACAACCAGGACACGTAGAGCCACTAATGGCATCCAAACGTGAGGAATGGATGCTGGAACTGAAATAGCTCTTCATAGACATTGGAGTTTTTCACTAACTTGGATGTGCTGCAGATAGTTTCTATTAGTCAGGTATTTTTGACTTTCAGTCACTGGAGAGCCTCTGGAGGAAGCAAGCACTACATTGGGGTTCAAAGCAGAATTGACACGATTGAAGGGTTTGACTCTAGACAAAGTTCTTCCCCACCTCCTGTATTTTGCTCCATGAGTAATTCAGTTCTCTTCCACAACATTCTCTCTTTCAAAGAAAAAACTAAAAGGCAATTTCACTTTGGAAATATAAAAAGCACATTCATACTTTACATCTACACACTGAACAGGTCGTGTCCTTCCAGCGGTGTTAATGCAGAGCAAGTCTGTTTCATATCGGCATCTTTTCCAAGCCTCCTCATCAACTTCAGGTGAAGATGAACGTGTCAGCAGAGCTTCTTGAAGAAAACAAAACCATTTGGTGAAAGCGTCGACGTTAATGTTGTTTCGCTCAACTCAAAAAGCTGGAATTTCCTACTTGGAAAAGCGCAAAGAACTTCACTTGAATTCGAACTTCCAACTTGCGCATTTATTCTCCGTAATTTGGTTGCTAGAAGACTTCATTGTTGACGCTGAACTAACGCACTGCTAATATAGTGTTGTTTTGTTGCCTTAAGGTGCGGTCACATTAATCTTTATTCCAATAGGTATCCAAATGATTGGATTTCGCAAGTTGTTAATATGAATTTACTGTGTTGACCAATTGTAGCATTTAAGCAAGTTGTGCTTCATACGTCGCAGCACTACTGACAATTAGCAACGGACCGAAATGTCACCAAAATATCGCTAATGTTACCGCAACCTTCACACCTCATCTTTTGAGCACTGAACACTGGAGCAACTTGGTCAGAAGATATCAAGTAAGAATATCCGTCATCCAACTTTGAATGGAACACAGAGCACAGTTCCTCTCATCCACCCATTCTTCTCTCAGGATAATAAAGAATGCAACAAAAAATAGCTTTTATGACACTTATGAACATCCTTTAGCAAATGAAGCAGCATCAAGCTCCTCTACACACCCGCACACACACATATGGTCTATGAAGAAGCTCTGTTGAGTGAAGCAGCCTTGTTTGTTCTTGTTGAATTACACAAATCTCTTTGAGGAGGCTTTGTCCAGATAGGGTTGATCTTATAGATGGGCGGAGCATGTTGGTTTCAGTCATGCTGGAGTGGCGTGGCTTCCTATGCAGATAATCGCATCAGATGGAAGAGCGAGGCTTGTAGATAGTGGACTAGGTGGACTTTTCTTGGCATCAGCTCATTTCATAATTACTGATTTTCAGACCGTTTTCGCCCTCGAGTTCTTCTTCATCTCCATCACGTGACTGGACAGGTATGTACAGGACATTCTGATAGTTTTAAGCATGCAGAGCGTGACGGTGAGTGTGCGTGCTCATGTGTCAGATCACTGGTTGAGCTCAGTGACTGGTCTCTTCTGTTTGAGCGTGTCGATGAGGGACAGAACTCCACGTTTGACGCTGGTGGAGACACGGCGTGTGACTGAATCAGCAGGGGGTGCCTGTGAGCAGGCTTTCTGAGATGGAGGGCGTGCCACCAGACACTTCTGATACCTCAACTGCAGAGACAAAGAAGAAAACAAGGAATGAATTCATGTGTTGCACGCAATGAAACAGGCTCGGTCGGATTAGATCTTTTTTTTAAACTTATGAAATATTAAACATTAAATTATGAAATAACAAAACTTTTAATAGAATGGACGAGACTTAAGGTTGGGTTGTTGTTTGGACACTACAGCTGTGATACTGATCTAATATATGGTCTTGACTAAGGGTGGGTGATAAATCAGGTATTTGCAATGATTAAGCAACATTGTGACTATTACAATGATTTTAATGTTTTTTGGCCATCAAGTTTTATTCATAGATGTGTCTGTATGGAATTTTTCAAATATACAGTGTACAATATACAAATTCTGTTTTCACTTTGTCATTATGGGCTACTGAGTGTAGATTAAGGAGAAAAAAATTTATTTAAATTATTGTAATATCAGGCTGCAACATAACAAAATTGAAAAAAGTGAAGGGGGTCTGAATACTTTCCGAATGCTCTGAATTTTATTTTCTTACATTTTATTAAGGTAGCTGTTTATGGCCATGTACTGTTATTAATATTTATTCAAATACATATATGAAGGGCAGTGGATATACAGTGGGATTTTGATTTTAGTTTTTGAAAGAACTCTCTTATGTTCAGCAAGGATGGGTATATTTGATGAAAAATGCAGAAATATGGTGAAAAAAGTAATATTGTGAAATATTACTACAATTTAAAATAACTGTAATATATTTGTATAAATGTAATTTATTCCTGTGATGGCAAAGTTGAATTTTCAGCATCCATCACCAGCCTTCCATCCTTCAGAAATAATTCTAATATGCTGATTTCCTGTTCAAGAGAACATTTTCCTATTATTATTGTGTGTTGAAAGCTGAAAGCTGCTTAATATTTTTGTGGAAATGTATTTACATTTATCTTAATTCATTTAAATAAGAAACCTTTTGTAGCATTATAAATGTCTTTACTGTCACTTTTGATTTAATGCATACTAACCGAATAAAATCCATTTCTTTAAAAAATTCGTACTGACCGCAAACTATACTTATAAGTATAGAAAAAATGAAGAAATTCCCAGTTTCTCTGGATTTATGATTTATAGCTATGTGTTTGAGTAAAACAATTTTTGTTTTATTCTGTAAAATACTGATGACATTTTCTCCAAATTTTAAATACAAATGTTGTAATTTAGAGCATTTTTTGCATAAAATGACAATTGGTCAAAATAACAAAAAAGATGCCATGTTTTCAGACATGTTTATATTCATTTTTAGACAACACAATACCAATGTTTTAACTTTAGAAGAGTTAAGAAATCAATATTTGGTGGAATAACCCTGATTTTCAATCACAACAAATGAAAACCAATTGTCATTTTCTGGGGGGGGAAATGCTCTAAATGACAATATTTTTATTTGAAATAAATGTTACCAGACCTTTATAGTATAAAACATATATTAACATTTTACTCAAACCCATACCTAGTAATCCAGTAAATCCAGAGAAACTGAGAATTTTCAAGTGGAAAATTTTCAAAAAGTTTCACATTTTTTCCATAGCTGTATTTACATTCAATAGGCTGACAATTTCTGAGATATAATTTTTGTAGCCATATTGCCCAGCTCTGGCCATGACATTGATTTTGTTTAATTCTAAAGCTATAGTGCCCATTTACATTTGATGTAGGTGGAGAACCGTTTTTCTGGTGTCATAACTCACCATGCACGCTGCCTGAACAGCCTCTGACACACTGCCAGCATTGGGATCACACCAAAACACATGACACTCAAAGTGCTGGCTCCCAGAATCCATGACGAACGCGAATGAATGCACATCTTTTCCAACTCCCATGAATGACAGGAAACGCACACGACACTCCACTAGGACCTCCTCTTCCTCCTAATATAGGTAGTCACATCAAGAATCATACATGAGTCAATATTCCAAAGATCATAAGCACAACTGCATAAACACAACAAGTTGTACTTTAGTAAAACACAACTATTTTGGCAGGATGTTATTGGGTTTAACATTGCCTTTTCTTTGATGACTGTGACTGTTGCGTCAGCTACATTCAGTTTCACAGGAATCCAGTCTTCTCGGATTGATGATGTCATCAAACTGTCTATTGCACCGTTGAGAATGTCCATGCCTAGAAAACAGTGACATCTGACCTTGTAACAGCATGTATGGGTCCAAGAAAAGCTATGTGAACCCTTTGGCTTTATCTGGATTTCACCATAAACTAGCCATAAAATTTGATCTGATCTTCAGCTAAGTCACATCAGTAGACAAATGCACTCTGCTTAAATGTAGGGTGGAAGTGTTCTTTCCAAAAGCTAACTGGGGTCGGGAGTCGTCTAACCTGGAGTCCAATCAATGAGACAAGATTGGAGGTCAGACTCACCTTGCCCTATAAACCAACCATTACAATGTTTGCTTTTCACAAGACACTTTGTCTGATGTGAACCATCCAAAAAAAGAGCTTTCCAAACACAGAATTGTTGACTTACATAAAGCTGGAAAGGGATACAAAAGCTTGATCTCAATAGAGCAATGCACACAAGACATCTCAAAAATATCACTGAACTAAAAGTGCCAAATGTCTGACAGTTGTGCATGGCTGATTTTTCGTGACTGTTTACATTGTTTTTTAATAAAAACAAAAAAGCATTATTTGTTAGTTCAAGCAGATTGTGTTTGTCTTTTGTTAAAGATCAAATGAAATTTTATGACCAATTTATTCAGAATTCGGGGAGGATTGTATGTGTTAAATGTGAAGAAAAGTATGCATATCACATTATTAACTCTTTGCCATCGGCTGAATTTTCCATCTTTCCGTGTTTTGGCTGTTATACGGTAAGAGGTGCTATTACACATCTTCTGATTAAAACACGGCGAAGAAACAGCAGAAACAAGTGATCGTGTATGTTAAAGCAGATGCATATGTAAAATAACGCAATCATCAAACATTAAACAGCATATAAATCAAAACTGCCTAATGTTACTGAATGAAATATCAGGAAGTGCTATAGGACTGTGAAGCTTTGGATGTGTTGATGGAAGCAATCGACTCTATGTTTTGATCATCATTCTGAATCCAATCTGTATGTAGTCTTTGACAAAAAACATGATTTTCTAACCTTTTTGTTCGAAATGTTGCTTTTTTAATGAAACTTACCCACATTCAAGTGTTGATAAAAAAAGAATGCAAGAAGCTAGAATAAAACCTTTTTTTAAGCAGAGGCTCTGTTCTTTCTTTCAACATGTTGCATGTTCAGATATTCATACAACAAAATATTCTGGCGGCCATGAATCAAAAATGCCGGCGGTGGCTGGAAACGTAAAAAAACACTGGCAGGGAAAGAGTTAAGAAAAGCAGAGAGGAGTAGATAGGAGAAAAAGAGAGAGCACATGAAAATAGTGAAATACTACAAATGAGTGTGATTGCTCACCTATAGGTCTGGCAACTGGCATCATGCCAACGTATAACACCTGGAACTTCTGCACCAGTTCAGTCTTTGGTGTGGGGAACTCTGCTAAGGGTAACAGACAGCATACACATTCACACACACCTACTATTCAACAAAGAAGAAACACACATATAAGCATGCTGTGTCACCTTGTAGTGGGACGTCGAGCCCAGAATGTGTTCTGTCCTGTAGAGATCCTCCAGCCATAGCTTTGGCATTCTTGCGCTCTGCCATGATCTATTACACAGAAATCGAACTCATTAAACTCGCTGCCCTAAATCAGCAGCCTAAACAGAATGTGAATCCTGTTTCTTCCTTCTCAGCTGTGTTCTATCCTTACACACAGACTTGAGACTATCAGTGGTTTTCTAATATCATTTTTGCATTTAACTGTTTTGAATGGGCCACTGATAATTTTGTGTTGGATGTTGTTTATGTAGCGTGTAGTTCTCACCCTGGAGCAGATTTCGTGCAGACTGGTGGCGATGGCTTTGGCAGGGGTGTCACAGCGGAACACATGACATTTTAATATCCGGGTGTCCTTATCTCGTGCTACATATGCAAAATCCCTGTTTGCACACAATTAAAATGAAACAAGTTTAAACTTATATGTAAACAGCCGTTTAGTGTCAAGATGAAACACCATTTACTACCCATTTGATTCACATAATCTGTCATATTTCCAAAAAAGTAAAAGTAAAAAATAAAAATAAAAAAAAAATAAAAAAAGGATGCAGGGAGTCACTTTATTTTGTCCATAGGGAAATGATTGGACCCCAAAAAGTTACATAACAGAATGGAGCCAAGTCGAGAGGTGAAAGGAGTTAGTATAGTTTTATAAAATAAATACGAACACAAACATATTTTATTTGGAATAAAGTGGACAATAAGACCAGGAATGTGCATTCTGAAAGTAAATAGAGTCCACTTTGATTTCATGTTGACTTTAAGCAAATATTTTAATTTCTTTAATAAAAACGATCAATAAACAATGCAGATGAACAGACACATGGTTATAATGTGAGTTGTGAATGAGAGTTTGTGTGTATTTCTGTGTTTGTGCATATGCAAAGAACTGTCCTAAAATACCCTGATGGATGATGTGCCCTTTAGTTTAACAGAGACAGTCAATTTATAAAACAGTTACTTAAATAAACACACCCACATTTCAGGCAAACAAAAAATGGTGTAAAATATAACCATGGATAAAACACACACACATCACCTACTATATGCAGGTGCATGTGGCTATCAAAGATGAATTAGTGTCTCTAAACTTACACCTTCAGCTGTATTACACACATTATTTATTATTTCTGCTAAAAATAAACTATTATGAACAAAATGTCCAGGAAGAGACTACAACCAGGCAATGATGTGAATAGAAGTAATAATAGGGTAAATCAATTTACCTCTCTCTGAGTCCCGGAAAGCAGTCAAGTAAAAGATAAAAAAAAACATTATGAGAAAATACACACAATGAAGCCCATTAATGAAACAATGAAGGATTGACAGAAACATGTTCTGCTTGTATTTCATGAAAGGGTTCTGATGTGTACAGGTATTTCAGAACATGTGCATTACTAATAGACCATAAAAACGTAATTGGCAGGATGCGTATCTCAACAACAATGGCTGGAACATGCTGTGGGGAAATTATAGCAGCACTGTCTTTTCCAAACCCCAATAATAAGTATGTATGAAAGAAAAATAAAATAAGAGGGAAGAGAGAGAAAACGAGACCAGCAGGTGTGACAAGAGTATTCAGAAATGTATCACGATGAATGTGACACCTCAAAACATGAGGCTCTCAGTGTGCAGCCAGTAAGAAACATGAATATGTAACAGTATGATAATTAGAGATTTAACAGACTGAGAGAGAAAGAGAATAAAACCAGATGAACTCAATGCACTCAATAATGTCTAGAATGAACCCCAGGCTGGTAAACCTGTTCAAAATGGGCTTTTTTTACAGCACCTCAGCAGGATTCAACTGTAAAAAAGTGCTGGAGGGTCAAGGAGAAACTACAAGGAGGTACAGGGAACAACGCAAATGTACCGAGAACAGAACCCTGAGGTTCCCCAAAGGAATTTGGAAAAAAAAGGCATGTGTTCTAGTTTGCGTAGATGTGTGGGATGGTATCAGAGGGAAGACCTGATCTGAGGGAACATGCAAGGAAGTTGCAGTCTCTTTCAAATGTAACCTGTTTAGTGACGTGAACATCTTGCCGTGACCTACTTTAATAACCAAACACACAGTACTCCACAATACGATCCTCACCACAGTAAATGACAACACATACAGTACATCCACAATTCTCAACTGAAATCTCCTCCTCCTCCTCCTCATTCATACCATCTGGAGAAATTCCACCCACTCCATCTTCTAACAGTCCTACTATTCCTCCTTTCTCACTCCAGTACATACTTCAACTGAAAACTACTAAACAACAAATGCCATGCTGTAGAAAATATGGCTTAAATTTATTCATGGATACTGTCTCAAGTTAGGTGAATTATGAGTAAATAATGAAAAATGATGGAGAGAAAAAGAGAAAAATACTCACATCTATTAATGAATGTGTTTTCCCCGCTTTAACATTATGCCGTACCCCTCTTCTACAGATTTTCACCTCCTCGCCTCATCCTCTGCTCTGTTAAAAACATGCAGCTCACCTCTCTACACTCAATCTCTCTCTTTTTTACCCCCTTCTCATTTTTGCTCTCTCTCTTTCCATCCAATCCCAGCGTTCCTTCTACCCTCCCCCTCTCGTTTCGTTTGTCGCTACAGTAACCTCTTGGGAGGAAAATGTTACTTAGTGGAGTATTAGCATAGGAGGACACAATGATCATATGCAAACACATGCGTACACATGCAGACTACACAATAAATCTAAAAAAAACCCAGCCTGAAGCATGATTCCTGTTTAGAGAACATATGAAGAGTGCCATCTGCTGGTCAGAATTCGGTACTGCTTACACTCAGTGAGGCAAAACTGTGATTCAGCATCCCTGATGAAGTATGCTGCATTCCACCCCTGCATCATTCACACACACTCACTAACACACAAACCAGTCAGCTCTTCTGGGACTAAAGCAGGAAAGCTCTTTATTGTGTGAGAGATTCATATGCAACTTTTGGATGACCTCACAAACACTCTTCACATACAGCTACACATACGGGCAGCCCCTATAACACTGGATTAAACTTTCATTAGCACTTGTCTCTCTATCATCAATCTTTTATTTCTGTCCTCCTTTCACTGGGGTGACTTTAATCCAGAATCATTATATAGTGACCTTAAGCTTGAAGGGGCTGGAGGAGTGTCTCGATATCAGAATACATTAACAGAGACACATTAAGTGAATCTCTTGCAGAGTGTTATAGATAATGAGCACATGAGGAAAGTCACAGGTGCAGAGACGCTGACGTTTGCAGATCTAAAATCTCTAATTAAAATGAAATGTGAAGAATTCACGACACATGCTTCATGCAATATTTGACACTCAACAGTCACAATCTATTTTTGATGATTTTGCTTGTGATGTAAAATTAAGAAATGTTCTGTGCATAAGACAAACTGTCAGTTTAAACCTTTTGCTTTTACCGTCATCACTCAAAAATGTGTATGAAAGTCTCTTTTTTGTATATTAAAATGTTCTAACAATTTTTTTTATATATTCTAAATACTGCTTTTCTATTAAATACTGATATTTACTACTATGTATTTTTATATTGGTGCATATACATGAAAATAAATACCATTATTCCTTCATAATGATTATTTAATGGAAAAAAGGTGAGGAAAACAACTTCCTCAGTTCTTGCATTTTTGTACATTTAAGTTTTTTGCATTTAATATTTTGAAAATACTTGGCAACACTGGCTGAAAAAGTACGCTTTTAGAAGCCATCTGAAAATTTTGAAAAAAAAATGTATTTGATAAAAAGCATTTCCCTTTAATAAAAAAAGGATTGTAATGTTGAAATGTATATCCATTCAACATCTTTTGTAGGTCAGTTTGTATGAGCTGTAATGTTTTAACTCACATAAAATCCCTTTATGCCCCATCTGTGTGGTTTCCAAAAGAATTAAACATTTCATAAACCCTTCATCATTTAACATATTCTCCTTAACTAATCCATAAAAATAAACTTTGCCATGGCAACTAGTGCATACCTTCCATTATCGCGCCCGACGCCCCACACACGGATGCTTGCGATGGGCTGAGCGTGTAGAACGCTTCGATCCATCGGGTCAACCAGATTCAGCATGTTATTCTCCAGAATGAGGTACATATCCTTCCCCTGGACACACACGCACAACGCAAGAGGATAAGATAAGGCTTTAGTTTCAAAACCTTGTGAGCGTTCTTGCTGTCCACTGCCTTCATAGGCATCATTTAAATAGCACTGAATTTTTAAAACTATGCTTTTTGGTACTGAATGAAATGTATGAATTCATGTAATTTCATGCAACAAGCAGAGTTCAGAGCACACAGTAGCTCCATAGCTGTTGCTCAGTTAAAAACATGATACTCTAAAAAGCATAAAATGCATGCAAAAAAAGCACATGCAAATAACTGGTTTCTTTTTTTTAATTTGATGTTTTTGGTATTGAATGAAATGTATTTTATAATCCATGTCATCTCAAACAAAGCGCACTGCAGCTTGACAACTGGGGGATGTTAACATGTTGCTAAGATGATACTTGATAAACAAGCTTTTTAAAGATATTGAGTAAAATTGTTAGCCTATTTGTCAGAATTGTCAATTTGATTGTCAAATTATTGATGCTTTTGAGTATTGAATAAAATATTTTAACTAACATTTCTCCTGCTCCACATTTTCACATAATTTTTCCATGAATGATAAATGCAATGCTGCCTTAGAATTTGACCAGAGAAAAGGTTTTTTAGAAGCCTTGCACCTATGATGCCTTAAAATACTGCCTATGCAGGCAACTCGCTGGGTTTTGGAATAAATGTCACAAGCTACTATAAGGTCTAAGGATGCCTGTGCTTATATGTGTGTTGAAAGTAATAAATAAATGATCAGGACAGAAAATAAAAGGCAGGAGGAGAACAGAGGCTCTCTTCCTGTGTCCTGTCACAACACATTAAACTCTCTTTCTTCCTCTTCCTCTTCCTCTTCTATTCACTTGCTTTTTTCTGCATGACATTTTCAGCTTTCCCTCTTTTCGTTTTATTCTTTTTTGTCTCTTTTATGTTTTATCCCCGTTTCTACCTTCCCTTTTTCAAGATGATGTTTAGAAACATTGTGTGTATTTTTGCATGAATATGTACTATATGTGCCTTCCTGTGTTTAGACTATAGTGCTGGTCTAGCTGGTTGACCAGCAGAACTGTGTAAAACTGGTCAACCAGCATGGGTTCTTGTAAATCTTGTTAGTATGTGTGTGTGTGTGTGTGTGTGTGTGAGAGAGAGAGAGAGAGAGAGAGAGAGGGGGTGAAGCTGTCTCTCACCTCTCCCCAGATGCCCACAGTGTCTCGTATATCATTCTTGCAGTAGGACAGTTGACGGATGCAGTTGTTAACAGCGACGCTGCTTTTACCCGGAGCCAAATCATCCTCAGCCATCTCTACCCAGCCGAGAGAGCGCACAGCAAAACACTGTAATAAACAAAGCCACTGATTAAGCACAAAGACTGTAACAAATAACTACAGGGCAACAGCTACACACTATGAAAATGAAGAGCGCAGCAAATATATGACTTAAGACATAATAATAACAGCTCGCACAAGAACAAGCCCAGTAATATAGTATTGTGTTTGTCTATTACATCTATTTCATTATACCTCATATCCTAAATCCTCCTACTCCTCTATAGCGAGACAGATTAAACTGAGGAAACACCTCTTAAAATTTTCACAGGGCATCTTCTAAGAATAGAAAGCGAGAGAGTGTTCATACACATACATGATCACTCACACACACACATCTCTTATAACAGGGTGCTGAGATCAAAAGAGAAGACCTCTTTTACTGCAAGAGCTTTTCTTTCATCTTTCACTTGTTCACCTCCTCCTTTCTCATCTGTATCTCACTCCCAGCACTCTGAGAGCAAAATCATCCATCATTCTGTCGCTCTTCTTTTCTGACAATCTGTGACAAGGCGCCTCCATTATAAAAGTGTTTGTGTGTGAGAGATTAATAGCAGGCAGAATGCTGTCATGCTCTTTCAGTTTGATTTTAACTGCTGCTGAAAGAACAGATCCTCAAGAGGAAGAGTGTGAAACAAGCAAAGAGGGATAGAGAGAGAGAGAGCGAGAGAGAGAAAGAGCATGACTTGGGGGAGGAAGTGTATGTTGAATGGTAACATAAACGCCAAATGAATATAATCTGACAACTCATAGCCAGAAATTAGAAATCCAGTAAAAGTTCAACTTGAGCTACAGTGGGGTTCCTGCACAGTTCTGATCCAGAGAGCTACATTCTTCATCTGTCTGTTGCCTCTATAGTATATAGTATAGATTGACAACTGGTCCACCCAGTCAAATGAAACACATAAATTAAGGCTATATTTCCATTGCATATCAAGTTTGAGAAATAAAGTCATTTTAGTGTTAAAAAACGTGCCTTTGATTTTATATATTAGGCGATACACATCATAGTCTAACTGCAACAGTCAATCGATAAGTAAATAAATCTATGTGATCTACTATGGTTTACTAATGTTTGGTCAAGCTACAAATTTAAAAAGCAGCGTTTTGTCTCTACCTCATTTGAGAGCTTTTCAACAAAATACAACACAAGGCAATTTATTATGCTTTATGCTTGACAGATCACATTTTTAAGTAAAGTCACATTTTCAATTTAGGCATTTATTTTTGGCTCATATCTTTGACCTTTTTCTCTTTCAGCCAAAAACCAATAATGCTGTATTGTATTAAGCATGTACTGTAAAGAAATTAATACTTTTATTCTGAAAGGGCATATTAAATCCAAAAGTGATAGTAAGACATTTATAATGTCACAAAATTATTTTTATTTCAAATAAATGCTGTTCTTTAAACTTTCCATTCAACATATAATTAAAATTAATTTATGTAACATGGTTTCCACAAAACATTTTCAACATTGATTGAATAATAAGAAATGTTTCTTGAGCAGCAAATCAGCAATGATTTCTAAAGGATCATTAAACACTAAAGACTGGAGTAATGATGCTGAAAATTCAGCTGTGCTAGCACAGAAAGAATTAATCTTTTAAAAAATATATTAAAATAGAAAAAAAATATTTTAAATGGTCACAAACAATATTTCACAATATTACTGTTTCATTGTATTTTTGATCAAATAAAGGCCATTTTTGGTGAGCATAAGAGATGTCAAAAACATTAAAAAATCTGCAGACCTCCCACTTTTAAATGGTAGTGTATGTGACACATTGCATAATCAAATATTTGAAGGATTAACTGATTTGTATTGATTTGTTTCACATTTTGTGTTTTGTGGCACAAATGCATTTGACTATGTATTTATGAGGGTGTTGTTTAGTGTTTTATGTTAACATCAGAGCTCCTCTGCATTAAGGACATATCTCACTCTTAGGTAAAAACATCAGAAATAATAACTACAAATTTGTTTTTCCATCTTCATCTTTACCCAGGTCTCCAAGCATGACCTGCATATGCATTTCTTTGAGCAGCCAGAAGATGGCACTGTACATCTAGAATTACATTGGAGGATGGAACTCCTGACAGCACCACTAAATTCCAGCAATAAACTATGTTTGAAATAGTTTGTGACAAACCTGGTACATGTTAAAACCATATATGTGTCATACTTTAAAAAAAAAACAAATCTCACAGAACTAGGGGACATGATAATGTTATGGTGATCAAGATTATACATTTAGTTAAAATCATTATTTACTCTTTAAGGACCCAAAATGTATACTTTTCTCACTTCTGCTAATGGCAGGTAAACTGAACGGCCTATTTTGCATCATTTCAATGCAAATAAAATAATATTTTGTCCACCTGAGAATGCAAGTATTTGCTGTTTCCATTGAGGTAAGAGGTGCTACATGATACAGCAGTCGCAACAACCTTTTATTTAGTAGACGCTTATATATCTATGATTTGATTAATTTTTGTCTCTTACAACAAGACCTTGACTATCATTCTTATAATCTGACTTATAATGTTGCAATTAATGTCATTTATATAAACTGTCATATCATGTTGCAATTCCTAAACAAACACTAGCCAATTAGTATGCAACTCCATTACACAGCATATTGCTTTAGAGCTTGGCGAGTATGAATTTGGATCCTGCCTTCAAGACTATAATAAGTTCTCTGTAGAGCTGTTATCTTTGAATAGCTGCACAAACTCATGTACTCTCACCTTGGCTTCAGGGTCACTGTTAATGCTGCTGGAATCTTCCTCTTCCACAGGAGCAGGGTTTCTAAACACAGATGCACACACAGTCAGAAGAGATATATACATTTTATTTATTCTCTCTCTCATTTAGGTGTATTTATTTATTATTTATTCTCTTTCACACACCGTAGCTTGAGGGAGGCGTAGCGGAGAGTTGCGCCTTCAAACTCTTTCAGACTAGGGTCAGGGTTTACTGTGGCCGCCTGTAGATCCTGAAGCAGAGATAAAGCAGACATGCTTAAACACAAGCATATAGCAAACCCACAAATGTACAGCATGGAGCCAGTGGGTTAAGTGCAAGGATCTGTGTGTATGTGCAGATCCCGCCAAACAAAACAGGAAAGCACAGTTCCTGCGATGAGTGATTAAACTAATTGAAATGAAAATGATTAACCAGTTTTAAAACAGACAAGGTTTGAACCCTGCACAATTTACAAAAATAATGGATTAAGACAATGAGAAGAAATGAAGAGTGAACAGGAGCTTTCCTGCTGCAAAAATAATTTTCTTAATCAGCATTAAAATATCTAAATGCATAAATTAATAAATAAATAGTGTAAGCATTTGATTTATCAATGCTTTATTCTCATCTGCAAGGTTTGTTGTGTATATCCAAATATACTTAAAACAAGATCAATTTCCATGACAAGCAAAAATTGCATAATATATTAAGACTAGTTTTCAGTAATTTTTTTTCTCACCCCCTTGGCAATAGATTTTTTTTAAGCATAATACTAACACAATTTAGTGAGGTTTATGCTTAAATCAAGAAAAAAAATTGCCATATAGGTTAGAAAATTAATTTAGTTGGATAAATTATTTTTGCAGTACAGACAGACAAATTTTTTTTCTCACCCCCTTGGCAATAGATTTTTTTTAAGCATAATACTAACACAATTTAGTGAGGTTTATGCTTAAATCAAGAAAAAAATTGCCATATAGGTTAGAAAATTAATTTAGTTGGATAAATTATTTTTGCAGTACAGACAGACAAAAAAACACAAAAGCCATGCTCAGTAGAAAGGTTAAAGGTCAAAAGGTGAGGAAGGTATGAAGCAGTACTGGATCTCAGAACACAACTACTCCAGTAGAACATCAGGTAGACCAACTTTTCTCAGAATTTTTATTAAAAATAATGCTAAATACATCTGCAAAATATGGGCCAGCCAATGGGCAAAAAATACATTTTGAACCCTGTGAAGAACATAACCAAGTGTTGACAGTGGTTCCCTGAGAAATTCTACTGTGTATTTGGCTCTGCAGTTCAATAAAAAAAACAGCCTGAGAAACTAACCTTCCAGATCTCACTATCAATCTTTCCCACTGCAAAATCACTCCATGGCTGTTTCTTCACCATTATTCACACACAAAAAGGGAGGACAAGGTTGAGGGGTCAAGGGTGGGAGAGAGGAGAGAGACAAGACAGGGTTGTTAGATCGCTCGATAAGCATGTGTGTGTGTGTGTGTGTGTGTGTACAGTATCTGTTGGGTGTTTGGTTGGGATTTTATTAGATGCAGTATGGATGTTGATATCTCACTCTATGTTGCAATAATCAGAGGAAAGCACAAACTGTTTTTCCACTATATTCTGAGAGTAAACAAGCATTACTGTTACCTTGTCCTCTTCTCGATGGCATGCCTCAGAGTGTCTATCCTTCCCTGGCATTATCTGTAGGGATGAGGACCGAGGCTATACACACACACACACACACACACACACACACACACACAAATAGATACATAGTTTTAGCTTTATTATGTGTGACCAACTTCTAACTAAATATCACAATATATTTATATTTGTCAATACAATTTATACTACAGTTAAAAAATTTGGTGTCAGTAAGATTTTTTGAAAATAAACTAATACTTTTATTCAGCAAAGATGCATTAAATTGATCAAAGTGACTGTAAATATTATTATTATATATATTATTATGGATATTCCAATTGATTGCAAGTGACAAAATATTTTAATTCTTTTCAATTGATTAGTTTCTCTTTTTTGTGGACACAAAAAAAATCAAATAAATCATGTTACTAACCTAGTTAAGATTTAGTTTTGATTTAAGAAGTCAACTGAAAAGAACAGACAAAACAAAATCTGGCAAGATGCATGTCTTCTTTTGTTCAGTTATTCAGTAGCACATTTCCATTTTAAAACAAATAAAACCGTGTGAAGTGCTGTCAACCTTGCTTCGTTTCATGCTGCAGCAAACAGCAAAACTGTAAAGCACACTAAGACTCAAAGGACCAAAAAGAGATTCAAGCCCAATGTTAAGGCTAGGAGCAATTTAAAAGACTCTAGACTCTTAAGATTTACTGATATGCATGTTCATTCAGTTTCATTCATCTAGTAAGGTCTTTCATACATCTGATTTGAAAAAATAGCTGATAAAAAAAAATCTATATGGCTGATAAATTTCACCATTCACCAGTCACTGTTTCTGGTGGGCGAACATTAATTTCCCAAATACAATCATAGCAACCTTTATCTATATAAAGCATTTGACCAGCTCCGTTTAATTCATGTCAACTGAAATACTGTCACATCTGTAATGGCGTTACCCTGGATTTTCATGCTTTTATGAACTATAAGTTTGTGTCTTATCCACTTTATTCTCCACAACCAAATTGTACTCATTGTGAAAGCAATAAACCCAGAGAATGGCAGGATGTGACCATAAAGTATTGTCTGTACTTAAGATGAGACATTGATGAAAAGACTTACAAAGTAGCAGCTGTTGACGAATCCACAGGAAGGAACATTGCCGTCATAGGATGAGGAAGAGTTTGAGGACAGGATAGGGGTTGGTTCCAGACATGAAGAAGACGGGATGGGGGCGGGGTCAGACGAGCTGTCAGAAGTGGTGCTGCCTGAACGACTCGATGCTTCGAAAAACACGTGGGCGTGAGACATCGACTAGAGGACAGCAAAGAGGTACCGAGCGAATGATTGGTCAATGTGGATAAATCAACTGTTGATTTGTTTTAGTTGAGTACCATGTCCAGTTAGCGTAACCACATAGTTTCAAAGGGTTACCTCGTGGTCTGGAGTGGGCGAGGGTGACAGGGAGCCCAGGGAGTGCTTGCGGCTGGCATGGCTGGGTCCAGTTGGCACCGGATGGCATGGGGTGGGTCTCTCCCACTGCGTGGTGCCCGTAGGAATGTGCCAGTAATAAATGCCAGCCATGTCTGTCATAATCTTCCATCCTGGAGGCAAATCAGGGTCTGTCTGAAATGACTGCTCCCCCCAGATATCTGGAAACACAAATACACAAGGTCAGGTGTGGTCCACACCCCCATCAACTAAGATATCCAAGACTCCTTGAGTGGGTGTTATGACCAAAACCTTGTATGACGGCATGAGTAATTTTAAAACATGGCATGTATCAGCATACAACAATTCTGGTACTCTAACCTGAATCTGAACAGCGTTCCAAGAGTGTTGATGTATAGTTTAACAACTAGGGCTGCCCCCGACTAAATATTTTTCTAGTTGACTAATCGCATGTTTATATGAATTTAATTACTTAAATATAAATATATAGCCTATTCCGCTCTCAAGCTCACGCATAAAGCTTGCAGCAAAGCACCGTCAAAAGTAATGACTATGAATGTGTCGGAAATATCGAGGAGACATTTTAATTATTTATTAATAAACTAGTGTTTTCTGACTCAGTGTCGGCTGCAAAGATGAAGTTGACGATGCTCACTTGCCATCTGAGTACAGTGGACGCGGCTTCAGAGAGAAATGTAGCTTTCATACGGATTACATAATCATCAGAGTTTTTGTTTTTGATTTGAATTTGTTCTTTAGATCTATTTCTCACATAGTAGCCTATACACTCAGTTTCTCAATTTTTTACAAAATTTTTGTGACACGCTCCAGTTCACAAAAACCGAGACGGCAGAAAGCACATAACTGTTTATTTTCTTTATATGTTTATATTCTTTATTTTACAAAAGCACAATGTTTTGCTGATATTGTAAGTGTGTATAAATAAAAGTAGACCTTTTACAGTTTCGAATGATGTATTACTCTTATCTTTATGAGCAAAAATGACGGCGTACATATATTGGTACTGGTCAATAGTTATCGATACCGAGCGATATGAAACATTATATCGTTGATACATTTTTTAGCTATATCGCCCAGCCCTACCATATAGTTTTCAAATAAGCCTGAAGGCCTTGATTAGTTGGATCAGGTGTGTTTAATTAGGGTTGAATCTAAACTGTGCAGGGCTCCGGCCCTCCAGGATTTGAGTTTGACACCCCTGATCTAGAGTGACGTAAAATTCACATGAATTGTGATATGACTGTTCAGACTGCGGTCGCATTGCAAAACATCTGACTTGAAGTTTCAATGCTCTCTTCTGTCACATCCTTGTCTTTATTTTTCATATTGCCTGCGCATAATTTCGCTGACTTCTGCGGCAGATCACACTATAAATAAACGCATAATCGCTTACTTTATGTCCTCCGTGTTTACTTCCGTATGACAATGTGCTGCGCAAGTGTTGCCAAGTCCACAGTTTTCCCATGGAATTGGGCTACTTTTTCATCTAAAAACAACCCGCAGGGGTTGTTTTTCAACTCCGTGGGTTAAAGCGATCCCACTAACGCGATCTGGGGGTAAATCGGATCTGAGCAAAAAGAATAGAAAATTAAAGCTTTAAAGCATTAAAGCTCCCAGTGTGAACGTAGCCTTAGTACCACATATGGAAGTGGCACAAATCGGAATTGAAATCATCAAATTCCATGGGGTTTGTACTGTTCACACTGTCATAAGAAAAACAGATCGAGTAATTTTAAAACATGGCATGTATCAGCATACAACAATTCTGGTACTCTAACCTGAATCTGAACAGCGTTCCAAGAGTGTTGATGTATAGTTTAACAACTAGGGCTGCCCCCGACTAAATATTTTTCTAGTTGACTAATCGCATGTTTATATGAATTTAATTACTTAAATATATATAAATATAAATATATAGCCTATTCCGCTCTCAAGCTCGAGGAGACATTTTAATTATTTATTAATAAACTAGTGTTTTTTGACTCAGTGTCGGCTGCAAAGATGAAGTTGACGATGCTAACTTGCCATCTGAGTACAGTGGACGCGGCTTCAGAGAGAAATGTAGCTTTCATACGGATTACATAATCATCAGAGTTCTTCACACTGTCATAAGAAAAACAGATCTGAGTCACATGTGAGCAAATAAAATCGGATATGGGCCACATCTGCCTGCAATGTGAACGCAGCCTATAGACACCTCAGTCTTTAGGAAGTGTCGATCAACAGTAAGTACTATTTGTACGCCAGAAAGAGAAAACATAAAATAAAGTTAAAGATGAATTTGACTGATAGAATTATTTTTTCCTCAACATTTATATAGATAGTATTGTTATTGTGAATTCTTTTGGCCACAATAATTATATAGTTAAAATCTGATATTGTGACAGCCCTAGTTCATAGCATTCCAGACCAGAGCATGTGAGCGGTAGTTATAAGTCTATAAATCTAATATTATATAGATCGTTTTGACTCTAAATTCTGATCAGATGAGCCACATTGAAGTTGAAACATTGCTACATTTGCCCAGCCAGTCTCCCAACATATGGACATTTCAAGCAGCAACCAAATCATTAAAACTGCTGAAGTCTAGATAAGGAGTCACTTCATCCTTGTGTGTTTCTGTGTGTTTCTGTGTTTTTTTAACTGGAAGACTATCATACTGCCAACATATGGACATTTCAAGCAGCAACCAAATCATTAAAACTGCTGAAGTCTAGATAAGGAGTCACTTCATCCTTGTGTGTACATTAAATAGTTTTTTTTTTTTTTTTTAACTGGAAGACTATCATACTATAAAATCTCTGTCTCTCTCATGTGAACTCACTACTGTTCTGCCTGTCCTCACTCAGCAGCTGGGAATGTTTGTTTCATGTTTCAGATGTTAGTAAGAGCATTATTCTCACAATGCAATCTGGGTGAGGAAAACCGCACATATACACACAGTAAACCACTGCATTCTGTTACTCACACATATGCTGAACAGATTCAAGCCAGGAAACACGTCCTCATCAAAACCATTGAGATTCTCAAAAGACCTTGTGTCAATCTACATGACACTCCACAAAATGAATAACTAACAACTACTTCATCCTTGTGTGTTTCTGTGTGTTTCTGTGTTTTTTTAACTGGAAGACTATCATACTGTAAAATCTCTGTCTCTCTCATGTGAACTCACTACTGTTCTGCCTGTCCTCACTCAGCAGCTGGGAATGTTTGTTTCATGTTTCAGATGTTAGTAAGAGCATTATTCTCACAATGCAATCTGGGTGAGGAAAACCGCACATATACACACAGTAAACCACTGCATTCTGTTACTCACACATATGCTGAACAGATTCAAGCCAGGAAACACGTCCTCACCAAAACCATTGAGATTCTCAAAAGACCTTGTGTCAATCTACATGACACTCCACAAAATGAATAACTAACAACGGAAGAAAAAATTAACTGACACCGTGTAATAACTAGCTGGGACACAAATGATAAAATCTCTTTCATATTCTAAGTTAATGTACTGTTGGTTTATAGACTTTCCTACTCATTCTCTTTATATCCCCTACTACACAGTATGCAAAAAGCTGTATGTCAAATGAGACGGATGTCTGAATACTCAGTATTGCATCTGCTAAGATTCTTAAGTATACAGCCAGTGGACACTTTGTATCCCATCATGTCACGGAAGCCAAGGAACTATTAGATTCAAAAAGTTATTAAAAACAATGCTGGAAAGTGTTGTGTAATACTAGTTACCAAGACAGTTGTTCCTCATTTGTTGACTTGTTGAAGGTCACAAAGGTCAAAGGACAGAGCAAACATTGTGGTTGGAGTATGTCTGGGAAACACTCTGTGTAGCCCCACCCACAATGAAATCTCACTGGTCTAAAATCCTGCTCCACATAGCACAAATATTGGCTGTAAATTCACTTTCAGTGTCAATATAAAAGTAACTTGTGGCTGGAAACCTGTCTGGATAAAACACGGTAAAAGGATTCAAGTGAAAAATTGTCAAATTATGCTGTTTAATCACCAAGGGTGCAGATTTACTGTTATTCATCGAATTTTTGCAGGCGAAATCCAGTCATTTCAGTAGGAATCCACGTGTAGATTTCAGGATCAAGTTGATCACGCAAATTCGTCACATTGACGCATTGGTTTGAAAGTGACTTATGTGAGCGGTGCTTCAATTCATAAATACACTATTGACAACAGTTTTCATTTACAAGGTATATAAAACAAATAAAAACGTATAAAATGAAATCATTTTTTTTAAATCACCAAATTATATGAGCAAGTAACAAGTGTTTTTTTTATTGTGATACTAGTTATTAATACTTTTAATGTGTTTTCCCCCATTTCCGTTTTAGTAACTGTGTGTGTTTTTTGTCATTTTTTAAAAATGCCTTTATAGTTTTATTAAACAGTTTTAGTTTGTTATTTTAGTTCCAACTAAATGAACCTTGGCAACTAGCTGAAATTAAAAAAGTTTAGCTTTTTATATTTTATTTCAGTTAATATTCATTTTCTTTAAAGTAACAAATACAGAGTTCTGGCATGAAACTCTAGATGGCGCAGTCCGATAGGTCTAACTCAATCTGACCTAATGACATCATTATCACATGGCACAGCTGATTGGTTCTCTCCTGTATCAGTAGCCAATGAATTCACTGCTCAGAATTCAAATATATGACTAGTGCTTGCCGTAGCAGTTACAGCTTGCTTCAGAAACCCTCCACCTTCCCCAGCTCCACCTGTATAGATCTGCTACGAGGTGTACATTACCATGCCAATGCCTCTAAGAGTTGTCATGACAGCACATATATATATATATATATATATATATATATATATATTACAGAATTTATTCATCTTTATCCATATTAGTAAAAACAATTGTTCAATGTTTGTTCATGTTAGTTTAAAGTGCATTGACTAATATTAACAGATACAACATTCAATATTAAATGCAGTACTTGAAACTTTGTTCATTGTTAGTTCATTCTAGCATATTTAACTAATATTAACAAATGGAACCTTACAGTAAAGTGTTCCTTATAACTCCATATCAAGAAGTGTTTCATTTGGGTCTGCTTTACTTCTATTTTAAGAGACACATCTGAGACAAAGCTGATGAATCAGGGCTCCAGAATGCACCAGTTGCATTTGCAACTAAAAAT